AATTATTTAGTTGCAATGATTAATCAAGATATTATTCCTATCAGATTTCGTATACCATCTAGTTTAAATCCTCAAATGGTTTATTTACCTGATGGTTATCTACTCAATTTGAAACTTATCTTGTTTTGGACACCATGGTCACCTTTTCATAATTATTGGCAATTAAGAGCTGATTACAAATGGGTTACTAAACGTCATGAATTGGCTGTTGAACTAGCTACTCGTATACGTATTCTTGGATTGATCAATCTTCTTATGGCTCCTGTAATCTTCATTGCTCAATTAGTAACGTTTGTATGCGCTCATGCAGAACGTTTTCGATATCAACCATCTACATTTTTTGGACGTCGTTGGTCTAATTATGCTCGCTTGTATCTACGACATTTCAATGAACTTCAACATGAATTTGAAACACGTTTGAAACAAGCATATATTCCAGCTTCTCGATATCTTGATAGTTTTGTATCACGACCGCTTACAGTTTTAGCTGAGTCAGGAGCTTTTATTTTTGGTGGTGCTTCAGTAGCCTTTTTTATTGCTGGTCTTATACGTGAACAAATGATCCATTTGCCTGGATATTTAGCTATACTAGTTGGTGGTGGCTTGTTGGCTAGATCATGTCTTTCGTTAATTCCAGATGAGAATATGGTTTATTGTCCGCGTAATTTATTAGTTTCAACCTTGATGCGTATTCATTACATGCCAGATCATTGGAAAGAACAAGCTGGCACACATCAAGTGAGGTCGGAATTTTCACAATTGTTTCAGTATCGTATGGTAGGTCTATTGGAAGAATTATTTTCACCAATAATTACACCTTTAATTCTTATTTTTATTCTTCCTAACCATACTCTCGAAGTTGTTGATTTTCTTCGAAATTATACTGTTGAAGTTCCTGGTGTTGGGGATGTATGCAGCTTTGCACAGCTGGATATACGCCGTCATGGTGATCCTATGTGGCAACCAAATACAGAAAGTAGTGGTGACGATCAAAGTGAAACGGATAATGATGATCATACAAATGCAATTCATTCTTGTTCGAGGAAAACTATCAGGTCTAGTAAACGGGCAGAAGAGATAACTCCAGCATATAACTCTAATGAACAGAATGAAAATACTGTACAAGCTAATCATAGTGATTCAATTCAACACAGTGCTGCTGGTGGTAAAATTGAACTTAGTCTTATGCATTTCCATCTTACTAACCCATCTTGGCGACTTCCACCTGATGGTCTGGCTTATCTGAAATCAATCAGAAACCAAGCATTATTGGACCTACAACAACAACAGCAGCAGCATTTAGAGCAATTCCAAGATACTTGCAAAAATAATACTCAAACTTCGAAAATCACTTCACAACCAACCTCAGGAATGTTCTCAACTCTCTATGGAACACAAGAAAGTGCAATGACTAGTATATACCGAAGTACACACCCTCATCTTCCCAATGCACAATGTGTTGAAAGTTCAGGTGTTCTGAAAAATGTTTCTCATTTACCAGGTTCTGGACTACTATCTGAAAATACCTATGGTATTGTAGGAGCTATGGCTGAATCTATGAGAAGTTCAGGATCTCAGTCAATGTATCGTTCCGGTTCCAATCTCCGTGAACCTCAAGTGCCAGAACCTAATGTAAGAAGGACTTCTCATAGTGATAGTGGTACTAATGCATTACCATCATGTACCAATTACAACGTTGCAAAGTTTTCTCCGGAAACGAATGTGGTGCCACAGAAACCTAATTCAGAAATGATTAGATCTCAGCTTGGTCCAGCCGTATTTAATTATTCTATGCTTGATGGACCCACTCCTATAACCATGAGCTTGATGGCAGCATCAGCACTGCATTCTGCTGATAACATGGGTCTTCCTTTTTACCAACCTTATAATTCGCAGATTGAAGATGGTTTAAGCCAGCATACTGGTTTTAATAACAGCCTCATTGGAAGTGTAGGAGGCCGCCGCTGCACAGTAACTGACGTACTAACAGCAGACATGTCAGTAAGTGCTCTTTATATTCATGAGCTTTTCCATAGAAGACGACAACAACGACAGAACCACGATTCAAGTCGAGGCTATAGTTCACAGCGTGGCATGACAGGTAGTACTCCTAGTGCCGATCCCGGAAACAATGAAACTTTTCCCTCTACACAGTCATCAAACCCACTAGTTGCAGGTGTTTACTCCACATCTGGATACTTACCTAGTTATCAGTTGCCACATGTTTCATTTGCTCCGACTACATTTACCAGTAACTCAGCCACTCTACCAGAATCAAGAAATACAATTGAACGTGGTTCTCTTTATCCCACCTCACCATCTTGTGAGCCTGGCATCATTAGAACGCCTTCAGATGGACGCAGAATACCTTCAGCACATTTTACAGATGTTACAGAAGAAGATGATGAAAATGTTGGGACGCCTAGATCGTGTAGAGATACAAACGTTTCTGCCTATATAACAGGAAATGAGTCACATATAATTCGTTATCCAAGCGGTCAAATAACTACAGGGGGTGGTATCATTACTTTGTCAAGTAGTCCATCGGTACGACCTCAGCATGGTCTGTCATATCAAAATATACAACAAACAAGTGATCCAAGCTTGGGTTCAGTTCCTAATATTGACAGTGATCCAGTATGGCCTGATTTGCCTCCAACTAATTGTTAATCTTATTAATATACACACACAAGTCGGTGTTTGTGTGTTCAACTGTGTAAAGCGGTAACTAGATATAGTTTTAACTTTATCTCACCTACCCAATCATCAATAGTAAGAATGGCAATGAAATGAATCACCATTAATTTATTTCAAATAAGTTTCTAAACATTCAATAACACACGCATCCATTCATATTTCTTTACTTTCTATTTGCTTGATGACCCTAGCTAAGACGTATTTCAACCTATCCAACTACCAAATTAAAATTACATCCACATTAGATTGAACATATTTTTGCTAAACTACTCAAACTTGCTTTATTAATTATGTTAGCATCACTTCACTTTTTTGATGCAGCTATATATATATATATATATATATATATATATATATATATATATATATATATATATATATATATATATGAGGTGGCTTTCAGTAATGCAATAATAGTTTAAATGTTGTTAATTGTTTTTATTTGTAATCCCTATGCAATTTGTTAAACTCTTGTAAATAGGTTTATATCTTACCAAAACAAAAACTCCTATAGTGTTTTGTTTTTGTATATTTTTTGAGTATTTAATGGTCCCAGTCATTTTTCCTAATCTAAATTAATAAAATACAACCCAGCACAACAAGTGTATTGGTTCATTTCGATATATTTTGAAAAAAAAACTGAGAAATTGTTGTTAGTTTTTTGATTTAGAGCTAGATAAATAGTGAATCCCTATAATGATACCGGTCTGTTGTCATACGAATCTCTATTAGTAATTTTTCAGTTTATAATGTTAAAGAAAACAATATACAACCACGTTATGAGTTTTATAACAGCTAAGTCAAACTTTTGGATTTTCTTCTAGCTTACAACTGTTAAATGCATGTCGGATTATTTCTCACGACGCGCCAACCCCTACGTTGTCCTAACTTTTTTATACAACAGATAATTATTCTGACTGAAAGATCTAAATCCTCGAAACTGAAAGCAAACATACCCACCTCTGGGATTATCTAAAGGAATTTCAACAATGAACTTATTTATTGCTACTACTCATTGTCGCTAGCTCAGATTTTAACATTATATTGATGTGTGTTGGTGAAGGTATCACATGATTGGTCGTTGAATGTGAACAAACAGCTATAACCTACGGACCATTAAATATGTGGTTTTTCTTCTGATCATTGGTTTCTTTTTTGGACGCACTGTATGTGACTGATTGTAATTGTACTGAATAAAGTATTCCCTAGTGTTAAGCTGGTTCTCTGTTTAGGTCGTGAATCCTGGTTCTAATATAACGTGATCAGTCTTATTAACGTATTTTCGTAATATACGTGCGAAAAAAAGAATACTGCAAACCATCCGTTATATCATGTATTCGAATGAATACTTAGGATTCACATGTTTCATCGACACTTGAGTCAGACACTTATACGTAATCTCACAGCTGAAAAAGTGGAATGCCATCTTGATGTGGGAAAATATGGTTCATGTAGAGGGCACGAAGCTGTGCTTCACAGAACACTAATAATCGAACTGATAACATCTGAAACTTGCATAGTTTCTTAACTTATATAAACTGCTGCTATATATCTGACGAGTGTGAATCCTAAGCATTTCGAAACCTACAGTCAAAGTCTAAGGCCCAGTAACTATCATAGAATGGCAGGACAAAAGTAACTCATAACTACCAACCTAGCTTACTTAACCTTATTTCGAAACCAAATGGTAACTCTTTCTCCTGATGGTCACTAATAGTAATGTGATTTAAATAATTTAAGACATTACTCGGTTTCGGTTACTACTATTTCTTTGTGCTTAAAGTTGACGCTGTCTGAGAAGAAATGGCTATCTAAGCGAACATCACGAGATAGTCTCTGTCGCCTCTTCTCCAGAATCAGAAAATACCATTGGGACTACAATTTACCGGGAGAAAGCACTATATTCATATCCAATCCATAGTATGACCTAATTCTTGAACCCCATCAAAATGTGATAACTCAACCCTACGACAGTTGCTTGCAAGTTTCCTATTCTTTAAGCGAACTTTGCTGTCTAGTAGGACCTTAAACTAGTATCCTATAATCAGTATAACTTCACTGGTTTACAGAGACAAATACGGTTATTCCCACCGACAAGATAAAGATTTTCGGTTAGAAAATTATAACCACATGTCATGAAATTTAGCTGAATGGAAATTTAGTCTATAAGCCAAAACTATATCTGATTTCCCAAACAGGTTCGCAATAACCGACTAAAACACTATTATCCTTCAACGAATACGACCTTTAATAGAACAATGCTCATTGTGTGAAAAATGTCCTGATTGTAGAGTGTCTTTTGCAATTAAATCAAAACTAATCGAAAATAATAATGGTTTATTATGCACGGTCATAGAACTATCGACTGATAGAAAAAGTCCAACTGGCTATAATACCATGTTTGTTCCATAAGTGAAATTCATTATAAAAATTCAATTAATTGAATACATAGTGTCAAATTAGCAGATAATAAATTGCAAATTGGTAATAGCAAGCATTCATTGGGTTGTTGTAGTTAGCTCTAACCTTTGTTGTAGCGCTCTCCATGACTTTTCAACTTGGTACTGCGAACATTCTAGGTCCCATTCTGTACTTAGAATTACATGTGCATAGTCGATAGGACTTTTCTGAGAACAATACTGACCTGCTTCAAACCAAGTGTACCCACCAGTCACTTCAGCAACAGCAGAAGCTTGTCGTGCAAGACGTTCTGACGCTGCTTCCGGACTTAGATTGTTTCTTTTACACAGCCGACGCTGAGCTTCTGCTTGGGATAAAACTGTTAACCATACCTGAGAATTGAAAAATTTGAGGTTAAAATAGTTTAACACATTCTGGAAGTCTTTGGTCAACTATGGGCTGTTCATCAATCTATCAGTCAATAAACGTGGCGACCCCCAAGCAGGCCGGACCGCGTGTCTTGAATCTTATCGTATGTTTCTCAGCATCAACTACTGAGTAAGCTGACATTTACACATTTAGTGCTGAGTACCTCTAGCAGCACTCACATTTAGACCATTAATATAACACCCATGTAGTGAACTATAAGTGTTTAATTAAACTGTAAAGCTAGGATAGGACTGGTTGATTTTACCGTCATGCATTTTGGTTAGCCTTTTGCAAAAAACTTTGATTCACATAATAAATCATCGGAAAAGAGATCTTAGGGTCCCTAATATCTGATTACTACCATATTTCATGGTTCCGTATATCAATACTTTATTGCCACTGTTAAGACGATTATAACAAATACAATTGATTCAAGACACGGAAATATATCTAGAACTAAACAACTCAAGGTTCCGGTTTCGATCCCCGACGAGGTCTTTGGTGCGCACCGTTGGGTAGTCAGTCCCATACTAGAATGAAACAGCTATCCAGTCCTCCCTAGTCTTTAGTATTTGTCTAAGGTGCAATTTTAATTTTGAAAAAAATAACCAATATAAGGAATAGAACTTACCTCCTGGCACATTTCATCCCACCTAGCCTGTAAAAGCACCGCGGCATCTATAATAATAATCGGACGTTTAGGATCCCGATCTTGTTCTAATGCCTTACATTCTATTTCTTTTACAAGCGTCAGAATTTTTTTTAATATTTCAGGCCAAACTATGGAATTCAGATCTTTCAGTTGAGCAGGATCAGAAAAAACTAGCTTTCCCAGTAAGCCTCTGTCTATTGGATAGGGTGGCACTGGAGATGCTATTTTTTCTCGTCCAAAATGAGACAAAAGAGCTTGGTGACAAGGAGTACCAGGACTGTAGATTCAAGCGACAAGAAAGCAATATCTATTTGAGGTATTTTCATTAAAATAAAATATTTGGAAATAATATAAACAGTACCGATAACAAAAAAGTCACTACTAAGTGAAACACACTTGTACTTCAGATAGAAAAGTCAACTTCAGGGAATTAATAAACCTGTACAAAATAATACTGTTGGAAACGTTCAGGTAGACTGACATTCTTATTTTGATTTTAAACGAGGTATGTTTACCATTCAGAATGGATGGCTGTTCATTGAACAATGGATATCTATTGTCAGCCATTTTTGTGAATGTTTCACAAACGACTGAATAACATCATCTGCAGGACTACATACACAACATCGGTAAATGATGCTCAGAGCGGAAGTCTGCTAGATGAAATGCGTAAAGTACGACCCAGTCAGCGAACCCGGTGTTTCAAGACGAACATATTTATTTAATCACAATCTTAACATTAACCAAATACAATGTTGAACCTCACCATCTGAACAATTCGTCCAAATCAACTGCGATAAAAAAACTAAGTCATCAGCGCTCAGAGAGGGTATGTTTAACAAACAGGGCGAATCTGCACGTGTTGAATACCTGATCTTTTTCAGATAGAAAAAGGTCGTGAGGGTACAAAAGGTGACTCGAAATGGACAAAATTTTTGCTTTCACTACATTCGACTTGATCTTGCCCATCATATTAGCCTGAGCAATAAAACAGCTACCCAGATGCAAGAACTCAAATTATTCTGACGGTACACTACTAAATTTAAGTGTACTACACACGTTATACTTAGTTTCTGCTGAGATACTCTGTTAAGATTAAATTAACGGTAAGGGAAAAACTGATCTAAAAATCACAAACCTAAACATTAAAATGATTTAATTTACGAACCTTTTAAAGCAGTGATTATCACCAATTTCAGTTCACGAAAAATTGGTACACTGAAACTAGAGAATATTATCTGTTATGAAACACTATCATCCAACCTAATATATATATATATATTGAGTAGTTTTTTTCAGTATTGTACTAGAAAATCTTTAAATCATTCAAAATTAGTGTCATTTGCAGGCACTTACATATATGCTTCATGACCGAGACGATCACAATCGATTACATGAACTTGGTCACTTAAATGTTCGAGTCGTCTGGCCAATGATGATTTACCAGAACCAGATGGTCCTGTTAAACCAATCAAATATGGACTACATGAAGAATTATTTACAGTTATATTATTAACAGGTTTTAACAGACTGCCTAGTTCATTGAAACGAAGTTTTGAGGAACATATCTTTAAATCCGACAAGTCAAAAGGATAGGCTTTACATTCGTTGGAGATCCTGTTTAAAAATAGGAAGATTATAAAAATATACCAGTTTAGTAACAACAGAGTAACACAAAAATAAAATTTCTTGGTGATCAAGATATGTCTATATAATATAAGCTATAGATTATACAAATCACAAGAACTGACGGTTAGAATCCAAGAGTAAGCGAAGGGAGCTCAAAAATAGTATTTAGTTTATGACAGCTTATTATTTAGACTATTGAATCTCAAATTTGCTGAGTAATTTCACCAGAATAATAGATACATTACAACGGTGCGATAACAAAATGGGGAATTCGCACTGCAACCGTTTGATGCTATGGAGAAGTCTAACGGTTGGGCCCTTAATCATTGGTTAATGAGAAACTTACAAAATGAACTTTGTCCAATAGTCTATGATATCTAGTCGTTTTCTTGTATTACATAAAAATCATTGATTCAACTGGATAGCTGTCTTGTCTTCTTATATCAGTTCAATTGATAGCTTGCGTTAATAATTCGGTTTTGTCACTGTAACTATTATTCGGTCAATTCGTAATCATTGTAGATTATCTAATTATCGGGATTATTTTTGTTTTATTTTGAGGATCGAAAATTTATCTATCAAACTGTTAGGGTACTCAGAAAATACCCCAGAAATTATCCATGCTATTCCTGAGTGAGAAATAGTGTCATTTCCCCATTGGTCAATATTCTCCCAACGTGTCATTTCCCTATTAGTCAATATTCATTTGTGTCATTTCCTGGAGGTCAAATCTTGTACAAATGTTACTTTCTATTTTATGCTATGATGTAGCCTGTTTGTTTGGTATATAAACAGTGTATGTTTGAAATATAATGATTCATAACTCAGAGGCTGAGATTTGTGTTCTGGACTCAACTGGCTGGGCTAGACAGTGAAGCAGGGCCAATCAGAACTCTAGGTTGCTCTTACGTGTCTTTAGTCCGATCGATAATTCGCTGCTCTCTAATAGGCGGGACTCGCGTTATAAGACAAACTATGAAATTTTACGGCACAACGCTACTGTTGATTCGGATTTTCACAGTAAAATATTTCTGACAGTATCCAAAAAGGACGTACCAACTGAAATTGAATTTACATTGCTCTCCTCCCCCTCACCTAATCCATCATCCAATACAACAATGTAGCACGGATGTGAAGTTTTTAATGATGCAAAATTAGATCTTCCAGGAGCACTAACTACACAGAAATATTTTCCATAAAATTAAATTAAAATTCTGCATCAGATCAATAATTATTTGAGTAAAATCAAGCCATATTGACAACCTTAAGTAAACTGATCAGATTTACAATAGCGCTTCTTAGGTTTTCGTGCGAAGTCCACGATACAACTGGAGGTAGTACTTATTTTATTGGAAGCTAAGTAAGAATTGTCTAAATCTAATCCCAAAATTGTTTACGTTTAAAGAAAAATACCTTTTATGTGACCACACAGTTGAATGTGGCATGACAAATGTGCAAACTTACAATAAAAACATGTTTCTGATGTAGGTTGTATATCAGCAAACTTGTTGTGATTCAGGGCGGGGTCAAAGATATTTTTATGGATAAAAAATACTTCTCAGAATAGATGTTTATGGATAGTTGAATTCATGTAGCGATTTAAGCCAGACCACCATGGGAAACCTGGATTGGTTGAATTTAGATATTAACACCGTCGGATTCCGACCCAGTGATCTAGAGGTTAAGAGTTCGTGCGCGAGACCGAAGGTCTTGGGTCTGAGTCACACGTGTGTGATCGTGGGTGCGCACTGCTGAGGAGTCCCACACTAGAACGAAACGGCCGTCCAATACTTCCAGGTTTTCCATGGTGGTCTAGCCTAAATCGACTTATGAATTCAACCATTAAAAAACATTTCCCTACTCTAAACACCCACCCAAATCCTAATCACAGCTCTAACCCTAACCCATTTTTGCTTACTATAATAACTTAACATGGGGTTTACAATTCACGTCAAAAATACTTATCCACCGTAATTTAGTTGATTTTTATTGTGTTGTAGATACATTTTTGATGAGCTAATAATAAGTTCCTCAAGGTTGTCAGTACAATTTGGCTTCACCCTTTTTCCTATAGTCTCCTGTGGTGTTTGAATGAACTAATGGTTCCTTTGTACTTGTTGAATGCTTGATTTCAAATACAATACATTCGTTAGTGCTTGTGTAGTACTTCTTGATTCAATTACGTTATTTCTGAGATTCTTAGTTAGTACTATAATTCAAATACTGCTGATCATCATATCTCCCTTGATACTACAAAAGAACCAACAAAGTGAAGAAGTTAATCTAATGGAAGTAAAGTTCCGGCTGAACTTTTGCAACCGATCAATAGGAAACCATAGACCTAAGTAACGTGTTTTTAGAGATTGATCAGTGAAATATACATACATTCCAAAACCCAACCTTTCTATTTTGATTGATAGAATCTGTGAGAAACCAGTACTTGCAACAGGAAACTGAGATTTGCACAAGCCAAGATGGGAGATAAACACTACAGATAAGGATTTGTTACATAAAAAAAGAATAAAAACTATATCTGGATCTACAATGAGATTTTATAAGAGCATGCTTCTATCATTTTACGACCCATGTTTTTATATACATTTATAATCATGTGTCACATTTGCACATTTCATAAATGACTTGAATCAGAAATAGCCTTTCCATAAAAATGCTTGCCACCACTCATTTTTGGATTATTATTACTAATAATTGCTTTTACTGATTTCCGACAGATTTTCTTCTAAAAGTACATCTGATAATATTAAGTCCATTTTTGTCCCCAGCAATTTAATGTGTACGGTCAAAGATGGTTTGGAAAAAAAGGCATTGAAAAAAGTCATCACCTAGTTTAAATCTTATCGAGACCACGAACAGATCTCAGCTAGACAACGATTAAAAACCTGTAAGTACTGAATGGTCGTTTCGTCCTAGTATGGGACTCAACAGTATTCATTTACGACTCCGTGACAGGAAATCGGACCTAAAGCCTTCAATCTTGTGTGTAAACGCCTAATCTTTAGGCCAATCAGAGGAGATTTGACGGTGTACAAGTCCAAGTTAAATCAATTCAATTTAAATTTATTACCGAGATTTACTGTTGTACATATCTGAATAAGACGTTTTTCCGTAATTTCATAAGCATTGAAAAAAGACATACATAATTAAGACAGAAATCTAAAACAAGTATATTGAACAGCTAAAAACAAAAATACATTGAATCGAATAAGTAGGTGAAAAAATCTAGAGAGAGAAAAAAGCACTTAAAATGTATGTTTAACTTACTTAGCTGAATACATAAAATCGACTACTTCAATTTTTAACGGCTTAAATCCATTCGCACGTCGTAATTCATTCAGTTTTTCACAACTCTATTAGCAATGATATGAAGATTGAAAAATCATCAGCATAATATTAGTGATAAGCTTGTTATAAATAATTAATTACACATGTGTAAAATTTTTACCACCAGGTCAAAACGTTGTCTAGTTAGATGATTTGTAAAAGTTTAGTTCAAGGTTGCTTTCTGAACTGACTGACACCAGTTGGAAAGCTATTGAAAATTAAGAGCCGAATGGTTTTCTCATCATATCATTTGAGACTCTTTAACAATGAACAACAACAGCCCTTTTAACAAGACCAAACTTAAGACATTTAAGTAGAGAGAGGATTATCTTTAGATCAGTGATCTTGAAACATCGACCAACATGTTCACCACTAAACATGGCCTTGGGTCCGGTTCTGTGTGATGTGTGAAGAATGGACACTAATAAGGAATATCAAACCAATGAAAAAGAATTTGTCATGTTCTACTCGATCTCCAATAAACTTCTCACCTAGTGTTAATTGCTGAAGAAAATTATTTTTCAAAAAAATTTCAACATTTAACTCCCCATAACGGAACAGTTTAATTGTTCTGGAAGGATCAACTGTAATTGAATATGTACCGAATCACGTTATTCAATAAAAACAATAGATTACATTTACTATTATTACTATTAATTTTACTTGTCAGATAAAATATGTTCGAGTGTGTTTTAATGTTCTCACTGGCAAGCACATATCGTCATACAATGAGCTGTCTTGCTGAACGTCAACGGAAAAACACTAACATAGTAATGAAAATATCAAGCTATTTTTAAGCAAATATAAGATCCAGTTAATAAATATACGAACTGAGTTGCTGATGTTTATAGTAAAACTCGTTAAACAGTCGAAATTCGTAAAATATTTGAAAAAAAAAACATTGTATCATATAGACTAGGCGTCTTAGTAAAAGCTGTAAAGACTTCATGAATGATGATAAGTCAAGACAAACGTTAAAATCCAACATTGATACAAAAATAGAACATTTGAGGTTTCTTATGCTTTCCGATCGCCTACTCATTGTCTGAAAGATTTCTGATGTACATAATTATAGAAAATATACGTAAATGGTTCTGAAGAAAAGTAGAACGATGAGGTAACAGTCTGATTTTTGAGGATTTCCAAAGATGGTTTGAACAAGGAAAAAAGGGATTAGAATACAAAAGATGGAGTATTTTGAAGGGGATTATATCTATGCACCTTAAATTTTGTAAAGTATTTATTGGATGGAGTAACGTATTTTGACAAATACGTTTTAAGTAGTGCCTGTTGAAGATTAAAGCATATACGTGGACAATGTAGAATTAATTCCATTAAATTCTACTATTTTCCTTGCTAAGTATGATTTTAAAATTAAATCATGGTAACAACCGAGAAAAATCACAAAAGTATTTTAGAGTAATTGTATAATTTTTTAATCAAAAACTCACATCTAAAGAATCGGAGCTGGCTACAATACAGTCAAATTCTGCAGAATATCCAGGTGGACCGAATTTATCAGATAATTTAACAATTTTCATAATTTTAGACTGTACGCCTATATCACTGAGAAAAGTTTGAACAATTTTACTGCGCTTCTCCCAAGAAAATATCAATGGGCTAAGACATTTATTTGAAAGTAAATCAGAGCATGTTACACCAACAAGCAAATGTTCTTTAGCCAAAAGAGCACCAACGGTAAGTAGAATTTTATGTCCATAATGTAACCGATCAAAAGTACCACCGAGACATACACGGGAGATATCCTCATGTGATTTATCTGATGACGCAACAGTTATTTGGTCATCAGTAATTGGTAGGTCTGATTCGGAATTATCTACACAGATGGGAAAAATGTTTTATTCACAAATATACACAACAATAAATTAAAGAAGCATGCATGAACACCACGAGGGAAGTATGACAGGGTCTTATATTCTGGAAACACAAGGCAGTATATACTCAAGACCTGATTACTCACAAGTATATTATGAAAGATATTAGTACGTAGATTGGTGTATCAAGACAGTGACAGGATTTTCAGTTGGCCATACACATTTAGACAACTCAATTTGGGAAAATCACCAACTACATCGTGAAAGACAACTTCAAAGAAAACCATATGTTTGAGATATCTTGAAGGGTTTTAATACTTAAGGCTTGCTATGGACATCAGTTTTGCTAAATGAACCAGTATTTACTAGATGCGACGATTTGGCCGGTATGGTACACTGGACGTAAAACCGAAAACCATATTGAGATGGTGGGACTGCAATTCAATGACTCTCACACTTTCCAAGTGAATCAAAGAAGTGAAACGTACTAACCAACTCATAGTAAGCTTGCAACACAAGCATTTCTATAGAATGAGAACTAAAAATCAGTGACAGAATACAAACTGACAGTCTATTTTTAAATCACTACACGGCATTTTACTCGTAATATGCAAACTTATTGAAATCTGGGACAATATATATATATATATATATATATATATATATATATATATATATCACCAAGCTTGTATTACATTAAAGATCTGTGATACGGTTTTTTGGACGCTTTACTTTGAACCAGATTCCATTTAAGTCTACTTTGCCAAATTATATTTGACCGATTGACCAATAGTCAAATGGCGCCCATCATTTGAGATGGCATATTACTTGGTATTTTGTTATAAGGTAACAAACTCAACTGATTACAGTACTTGATACAGCATTATACACTCTGTCTAATGTAAAATAACTAAAACCACCAAATGTTTACTCGTAAAATACCTTGCAATTTAATAAAAAGATTAAAATGCCTTGCCTATGGTAGCATATATAACACGATCACCGTAAAGTGGATTGATATTGTGGGCTTCATTTAAAATCCAAACAGGACTAAATTCAGACTCCGGTGAAATTACAATATCAAACTTTACTGAAGGCTTGGTATACTTGGTTGTAGGAAGAAGAAGACAGACGTTTAGTGATGGGCAAACCTGTAGGTTAAATGAAATCATATTAGATATAAAAAACCAACCTTACATGCGGTTGTATAACACAACGTAGCCGCTTTTTTCCAAAATATAAAATCCGAAGGACTTCGTAGAATCGCTAAAAACAGCTTTTCGTTCACTACATTGCTAACATATTTTAACAAAGAGAATAATTTCTGAGAGTGCACATGCGGTGACAAAATAAGTAAGCCAGATCGGTACATATTTAAAGATAATGGATGGTCCTACAAAAAAAGACATGTACTGTAAATCTTACTTAATGAAGAACACAAGCTTTACGCATTTATGCAAACAAAGTAAGGAAAGATATGAACAACAGTTTCATGGCATTCACATCACCGCTTCTGTAAGTACAAACTATAGAGATCGATTAAATGAAATGTTACCAAACATCAGCAACTATCCTAGCCTGGCTTTATATTTAAATAAAACCTAAAATTAGTGAAAAGTGAAAACTTAACTCACTAAAAAAGAGTATGGGCATAAACATCAATGGAAGTGAGACCAAAGTATGTTTAGACCAACTCAAACTTACTCGACAGATGTTTATTGGCGGATTTTAATCATAGTCCTTAGCATGAGGGAATTTAGAGAAATTTCGATTTAAAAGAAAATAGTAGACAAGTGAATTACAGTACCGAACGGAATAAAATCCGTGAATACGTTATTTTTGCGTAACTAATGAAATTGTCTATGTTGACTACATGTTCCCAAATGTTATAGTTTGAAGGAAGGAATTGGTGCTTATTGGAAGTTTTGAAATATTTTAACACTAACTCAACCTTAACCTTAGTTATAATCTCAATTTGTACCTCAGAGATCGCTTGATGGACCTCCGTATCTGGTAGCAGTAGATCACTGATACCTCCAGGCAGGAACCTAGGCATAATAACGACAACAAGTTGGTAGATCATAAGGATATTGTCCTTAGTACATAAGAATATGTCAAGTTTTCTCTAAAAAGACTCCTGGGAAGTCGCTTGGACTAGCTCAGCCGGCAGCGAATCCCAACATTTAACTACTCTTAAGGGAGATGGAGGTGTGTCTATAGTCCGCTCTGCTGTTTTGTGCCTCTGGTTTTTGAGTGTTACCTCTAAAGTTTGTGTTGGAACTAACCTTAGGTAGGTGATTAAGGGGATGTCTAGAAGTATTAAGGATGCTGTGGACACTTTCAAGGCCACTCTAGCGTCGCTAAAAGGTAGTCCACCAGTACTCCACCTTGAGATTGAAGTCGCCCCTCTTTTGCCCCAACGACCTTCAAATGACTGTCGACGGAATAGAAGAAGCTCTCGCTCAACGAGCTTTCATATCTAGTAGCAGTGGATATTTGATGCCTCCAGCCAGGAATCTGGGTTCAGTTAACGATAAAGTGGGAGGAAAACACTATTAAAGCATAGTGAGACGCTATCCTTAGTCCATAAAAATATATCAAGTTCCTCTTATAGAAAATCTGAAAAGCTGCTTCAACGAGCTCAACCAGAAGTGAATTCCAGCATCTGACTACTCGCAAAGGGTGAAAAGTGTTCCCATATGTTGGGCCTCCAATTCATGGGTGTTACCACTAAGTTTGGTGACGGGGTATATCCAGAAGTGTTAAGGGTGCTATTACTCATCTTCAGTGAAAAGTAATAAATCTGATGACAATTTCTGTGGAAGGCCATGTATATAAATCAAGAAAAGAAGAGGTCCTAGTTCCGAACCCTGACGGATCCCACTGGGACATTTTTAGCCCAAGTGAGATTTACCATGACTTACAAAGTAAGCCAATCAAGTAATGGCGACGTGGCGCCTAACACTTTGAGTTTTCTGATAAGACATACATGATTGACCATATCAAAGGTTTTCGAGAAATCACGTTATACGACATCAATTTTCCCTTTGAGATCAAAAATGGTTATATATCTTTCCAACAGAATGAAAAACGACCATATTGCAAGCCAACGCCAAGAACATGCCATTTAAACTTGGAGGTGTTATGGATGCTAAATCCTCATAAATCACTAGGTAAACGTCTCAGTTTTGTAATTTTACTTCGGAAATTTGAATTTCTCTTCTTCGCTCCAAAAGCACCCATTTTTATCGTCGGATTGGATTTCTTACTTGGAAAGATCTTAAATGTCATTGGTTCGTTTCCTCTTTTAGTAAGCTATTTAGTGGTGTGGAGATAGGTCTGTCAAACTTATTTTCTAAATAATTTTTATTATTATTTGTATTCATTTTGTCAACCTTTCACTGTGTGTACATTTATTATTAAATCATTGTACCTGTTGTTTTAGTAAATGACCTTGATCACTTTTTCCGTTGTGATACTAACATAGCGTGACACTTTCTGTGATCGTTCCAAATACACTACTACACACATACCTCTCGTTCTAAATTCACTCGCATTTGTGTTAACTGAAGTCTAAAGCAAGTACCATTTATCTTTACAGACGATAATTGGAATATACCATATTTATTACTGAATCATATCATTGGGGAACCCATCACACTCACAGGAATTATTAATCATCTATAATTGTGGATATTTAACACCAGATCAATTTGGAACACGCACTCTCCTGGTAAAATAAGTAACGTTCCTTATTTCTATTGTGTTTATGACATTTAACTTATATATCTTTAAATATTGCTATTTGTTATAAATAACTATCATTACCTTTCGGATTAATATATTGTCTGGTCCACCACAATTATTTGGTGAGCCTAGAGTGTATTTTAGTTTTATTGTTTATATTTCTACTTGAAACACTAGATTTTTTTTTATATCATGAACTCTCCAAATAAACTTATAGATATGGAATGTCCCCCAGTGAAACCCCTTGACTCATTACATACAGACAATAATATTTTAAGTTCAGTGAATGCCATTACTGAGTTAAGATTACCAACATACGGCGTTAACAACCCTAGAATCTGGTTCGCGCAGGTAGAGGCCTTATTTTTAGCCAGGGGCATACGTTCCCAAGCGACTAAATATGCCCATGTTGTCGGCGCTCTACCCATAGAAGTCGCTACGGAAGTCGGTGATCTGATTGACCATGTACCAGAAACAGATCCTTATGACAAACTCAAAGCAGCAGTAATTCAGCGCACGTGCGTCTCAGACGAAAAACGATTACAACTATTACTAACTTCCTGTGACTTGGGAGAAAAGAGACCCTCCCAACTTCTTCGTCACATGAAACAACTTGCTGGTCCATACAACCTGGACGAAACTCTCCTAAAACAAATGTGGTTGCAAAGATTACCACATAATGTGAGACAAATCCTTAGCGTCTCAGGGCGAACTGTCGCTCTCGAGGATTTAGCCGACATGGCGGACAAGATGATGGAGATCTACCCCGACAAGCATTGTCTAAACGCGATACAAACTTCTGGTAATGGCGATACGAACACAACACTCAACATTCAGCAACAATTAATACAGTTAACAACTCAGTTAGCGTCATTACAGGCTACTATTGCGAGTATCCATTCTCGACCTAATAGATCCATTTCTAGAAAAAGAGCAGAGTCAAGACATCGTTCAAGGTCTCCCAAGAAGACAGTCGGTATTTGTTGGTATCACCAAAAATATGGCACCAAAGCACGGCGTTGCACAAGACCGTGCACATTTTCCGCAGCTGACTCAGAGAATCAGGGAAACGAACTGGCCAGACAGTAATGGCGGCGTCTGCTACTGGCCAACACACTAGCCGCCTCTTCTACATCAGGGATCATATTTCTGGCTCAGACTTTTTAGTCGATACTGGAGCAGAAATCAGCATAATCCCATTAGAGCTTTCACGACGGCGACACACTACACACAGCAAAGTGTCACTACAGGCGGCCAATCAAACACTTATCAAAACCTACGGAGAACAATCTCTCATTCTAGATCTCGGTCTTCGGCGAAGATTCACTTGGGTCTTTATAGTCGCTCAAATCAAACGACCTATTCTTGGAGCTGACTTTTTAAGTGCTTACAAATTATTAGTAGATATGAATAACAAGAGGTTGATTGACCAATGCACACGTTTACAAGTAAATGGTACGCTTGCTACTGACTATGAGACTTACGGTGTGCATATAGTAAAACCGGAAAACAAACTTTTCACCAACATTCTGAAGGAATACGAATGTATCACAAAAGTAAATTATCAAACGGAACCCACAGCACACCACGTACAGCATCATATCATCACTACGGGACCACCCATTAGTGCTAAAGCAAGGAGACTTCCACCACACAAGTTACAGATTGCTAAAAGAGAATTTGAACATATGATGCAACTCGGAATAATTAGACAATCAAACAGTCCTTGGGCTTCGCCGCTGCACATGGTTCCAAAGAAGGACCAAGATTGGCGACCATGTGGAGACTACCGAAGATTAAATAATCAAACTATCCCGGATAGGTACCCCATACCGCATATACACGACTTCTCCTTAAATCTACATGGTAAACAATTTTTTTCGAAACTTGACTTAGTAAAAGCCTATCATCAAATTTCAATGGCGCCCGAAGACATTGAAAAAACAGCCGTAATCACTCCTTTTGGTCTGTTTGAATTTTTGAGGATGCCATTCGGGCTAAAAAACGCCGCACAAACGTTTCAGAGGTTTATGGACGAAGTTACACGAGGATTAGACTTTGTATTCGCCTATATCGACGATGTTTTAATCGCTAGTTCATCACTCGAAGAGCATATCCAACACTTACAGATCCTCTTCGAACGTTTCAAAAAACACGGTGTTGTTATTAATCCTGCTAAATGTATATTCGGTGTTCCAGCCTTAGAGTTTTTAGGACACTACATCAACTCCCAAGGTATTAAACCTCTCCCAGAGAAAGTCGAAGGCATCATTAGCTATCCAGAACCAACCTCTGTAAAATCACTACGACGTTTCCTTGGGACATGCAACTTTTATCGACGATTCCTACCGCATTGCGCTGAAGTACTACAACCGTTAACTGATTTACTGAAAAGCGATAAAGCAGGCACCAAGAAAGAAAAGAACCAAATGTTCAAATTACCTCCTGATGCCAAAGCAGCATTTGAGAAAGCTAAATCTATGATAGCCAACGCCACGATGTTACAACATCTAAATACTGACCCCACAACCCATCTGATTCTGTGCACGGATGCTTCACAGAAAGCTGTCGGGGCAGTACTGCAACAGCGGGTAAACGACACAATTACCCCCATCGCCTTTTTCTCGAAGAGATTATCGTCAGCACAAGAACGTTATAGCACTTTTGGACGTGAACTTTTAGCTATGTATCTAGCCGTCAAACATTTCAACTTCTTGCTACAGGGTCGTGATTTCATCATTATGACAGATCACAAACCCCTTTGCCATTCCTTCAGCACATCGTATGACAAACATTCTCCACGAGAAGCAAGACAACTTGATTATATCTCTCAATTTACTACAGACATCCGCTTTATCAAAGGTAACATGAACATTGTTGCAGATGCACTATCTAGAAAGGACATCAATATGATGGTACACAACCACAACATCAGTCTAGAAACTTTAGCTAAACTCCAAGTAGACGATGCAGAATTGAAAGCCTGCCAAGAGAAGTCTAACTTGAATCTTAAACCAATACCCATGCCTTTCTCAGATACTTTCATCATGTGCGACACCTCAACAGGCAACAACCGCCCTTTCGTCCCATACGCTTGCCGACGAGAAATATTCCGACACTTACACGGTCTTTCACATCCAGGAATCCGAGCCACAACTAAACTGATTACTGAACGTTTCGTGTGGCCAAAGATTAACTCAGATATAAAACGATGGACTCGAAGCTGCCTACAATGTCAACGCAGCAAAATTCAAAAACACACAGTCAGTCCTGTTGGGAAGTTCCCTTTGCCGGAGAAGCGTTTCCAACACATCCATCTAGATATAGTCGGTCCCTTGCCGCCATCGAAATCATTCACGCATATACTCACATCGGTGGACAGATTCACAAGATGGGCTATAGCATGTCCCATCGCCGACACTTCTGCAGAGACAGTAGCCGCTACATTCCTTGACCGATGGATATCAAACTATGGAGTACCATCTATCATCACTACAGATCGTGGTCCCCAGTTCCAGTCTATCTTATTTCAGGAATTCACAAGACTTCTGGGTGTGAACCACATTAAAACGACAGCTTATCATCCAGTGGCTAATGGTCTGGTCGAAAGATTTCACCGCCAATTGAAAAGCGCACTGATGGCACAAACTGATACAACAAAATGGAGTGACGCACTACCACTTGTACTCCTGGGAATTCGTTCGACCATCAAGGAGGATTTAGGATGCACTTCAGCCGAATTAGTTTACGGTACTACATTAACATTACCGGGTCAGTTGGTCGATCAAGAATCAATAATGTCAAATGATCCAAATGGTTTCGCAAGCCGACTATTACAAACGATGCAACGCATTAAAGCGATACCTCCGCGTGAACATAACAACCGCATACAACTTGATAAACATCTAGAGGCCTGTAAATTCGTTTTTGTTCGAGTCGACGCAGTGAGAAAACCATTGAAACAACCGTACGAAGGACCTTACAAAGTAATTAAACGAACAAACAAACATTTCATCATCAATAAAAATGGAAGGAATGAGACAATTTCCATAGACCGAATAAAACCGGCTTTCTACGAAATTCTTCAAGACGCGGAAGACAATACTACGAACGAATCACCACTCCCATCTATCGCTAAGAAACAAGAGGAAAAACAAAAACTTAACAGTACCCCCTCTTGTTTAACACGTTCTGGGAGACTTGTAAAAAAACCGAGACGTTATGTACATTTCGCCGTATAAAAAAAAACTACAACCAATCAAAACAAACAATCATCAAGGACTGACAATATCAATCCTACCCAATATGTTTTTGTTTTTTTTCCCTTTTTCACAGTGTACATAATTAATCATTTTTTTTCCACAATTATTCGTTTCGTCACATTATATATATATATATATTTTTTGTTACAATAATAAACGAGTAATTACGTATTCAATGTACACAAATAAACAGTTCATTTTTTTTGTGTGTGTGCGTGTCCGTCATTAACAATTTTACACATTATTATCATTGACAGTGTTTTCTTTTTTTTTCTGTTTGTTACGCTATATTACATTACTGCTATCCTCAAACGCTAACACAACGCATTTTACTAACGCGTATATCATGTCCATCTCCACAATTTTTGTTGTTTATAACTGTAAATATTATTTTTGTACATACGTATATATCATATTCTGACATTTTTTTTATTACAACCAGTTTTACCTCCGGAAACTCTGGGGGGAGCTATGTGGAGATAGGTCTGTCAAACTTATTTTCTAAATAATTTTTATTATTATTTGTATTCATTTTGTCAACCTTTCACTGTGTGTACATTTATTATTAAATCATTGTACCTGTTGTTTTAGTAAATGACCTTGATCACTTTTTCCGTTGTGATACTAACATAGCGTGACACTTTCTGTGATCGTTCCAAATACACTACTACACACATACCTCTCGTTCTAAATTCACTCGCATTTGTGTTAACTGAAGTCTAAAGCAAGTACCATTTATCTTTACAGACGATAATTGGAATATACCATATTTATTACTGAATCATATCATTGGGGAACCCATCACACTCACAGGAATTATTAATCATCTATAATTGTGGATATTTAACACCAGATCAATTTGGAACACGCACTCTCCTGGTAAAATAAGTAACGTTCCTTATTTCTATTGTGTTTATGACATTTAACTTATATATCTTTAAATATTGCTATTTGTTATAAATAACTATCATTACCTTTCGGATTAATATATTGTCTGGTCCACCACAGTGGCTTTAACCAAAAGACATTTTCGCATAGTATATATACAAATGAGTTGTGTACTTATTCGTTCATGCTTCCGAGTGCCTGTGGAATATACTTTTTCCAGGTCTTCTCCCTCCATTTGTCAGGGCTAGGGCTCAGTGGAATAATTTGGCTTGTCCAGTTGTTGTGTTGCCGACTTTCGTTTCGTTCTCTGGCCTTAGGTTATGTCATAATCTCTTCAAATGTAGCACTTGGTCAGAAGGTTAGTTAATTGGGAATAACCCTTCCTGAACCCGTGTTGTTGGATTGAAAAGGATTTTATGAACAATACGTAGTCGCGTAGATTATCTCATATCAGGGACTCCACAACTTTTGTGGGTATCGAGAGGAATGCCACGGAGCGGTAGCTCAAAGGTTCTCCGCGTCGACCTCCTTTGAAAATTGGTGTAATGTGAGCCAGCGTCCCAGTTCTGGTACAGCGTTTTAGCCTAGCAAATGTGAGAACATCACACTAAGTGGTTTTGGCAAGATTGAAGCCGCTTCCCTCACTACGGCTGGATGAACCATATCCAGACCAGAAGAGGTATCTTTGTTTGGATGCTACAGTTTCTGGTGCTCCTAGTCAGTCTTCACGTTCACTTTTGAGGATCTTGTTGAGTTGCAGGTGGAGATCTTGTTGATGTAGTTAGTATAGAAAGGTTGACATTTTGAGGGTACCGTTCTACCAGAAGATCGACAAAGTAACCGTCGTTGATGGTTGGGCCATTAGGCTCTAACAATTGAGAAACTCCGATTTTTGCTTGTCGAAGAAGGTCTGCATGCGGGGTTAGCTTTTCGGAATGGAGATAAATTTATCGATCAACTTTATCTGATACTGAAGCCCATCTTATCTTATCGCCTCTGTACATTGGTTCCTTGCTTTTTTGAAGTGCCTACATCCGCTGTTGAGGCTAGTTCACTTATATTCCGCCTAATGTGATTCTTTGTGATTGTATGTTATTACTATTATTATTATTCACAAACATCTTATGGGTACATAAGTGTTGTGAAGAAACCATTTCGGGTCCCTTCAAAAATGTAATAATACACATGTTTTAATAATGTTAGCATTATATTTGCCATATTTGAAAAAAAGTAATAATAATAAGACAATAATAATAAATCAGATTCTGTGTAATTGAGAAGAATATTGAATTGAGTTTAAAGAAGTAAAGGAAGAAAATAAGGGAATGGAAATAAAAGAGACGGGAAATACGCAAATAGTTTAATAAGCGTGTTTATGAACACAGAACAAGAATAAACGACTGTGTATGTATCGTCATATTAGTAAAAAAATAAAGTAGAAAATAATTAAGAAAAAATAACTTATTAATGCAGTAAGATATGGAGCTAGAATAAATGTTTGTACAGTCATAGTTTGGAGTAATGCAACGTTCGGGGACAGTTTGTGGGATGGACTCTCTTGTAGCACATAATATCGTATGCATTAAGAATGTCGAATGAGCGTTCGGAACAAGTTGAGGGTGGACAGCGAAGTGCACCTGCTGCAGATTGACCTGCAAAGCCTATTCATCCAACCGTTTTAAATTCCAACATCAGTCGTCGGTAGGACCTTTTGGCTCGGTTTTGCCGACAAAATTGAAGGATGTGACTGCATAATCACCAATATCCAGGAAAGCCAAGACTCAGAAGTTGTAGGTTATAAATTCTTCGTTTGTAAATATCCGATCTAAGTGTGATGTCTGGCCATTTCTCAAGAGAACCACTGACTTCACATTTTTGAATAGTTTCAGATCTTCAAGAACCGGGCTTTAGTAGGGTATTACGTCCAAATTTTTCTCTGGTCTATTATTGAGGCACGGTCGTTTGACCCCTTCGTAACTCATGACCCTAAATAACAAAAGAACAGAATTCCAATGCATGTACCAAATTTTATCGTCAAATTACAGTTGGATTACGTTTCAGACTCCTGTGCTGTTTGCTGACTGGTTGGACAATCTTGGGGGTAGATTGTGCGGCCAATTCACTGGCTGACTTTCTTACAAGACATGGTTAGTTTGGAATCGAACCGCATCATGTTCAGTGCAATCTTTAAAACTGCCTTATTCTCTCGTTTACTTTTCAGAGCAATGACAATATTAATGGTTGATATGTAGTGGACTGGGCCCTAACCACACAATTCTCAAAGCTGAACACGAGACAACTGGGAAAACAGACCGAGAAAGCGGGAAGCATGAATTGAATTAATTCGAATCGACCAGATGGCATGGCGTGGTCGCTCTGTACAGCTTACGTTTACTCATATTAAATATATTGTTCTATTTCCAGTCAGAATGTGTTCTCCATCATCTATTGGTAGTTGTTACCGTACGACGAGTCAGTGTAGACAATGATGTGACTTCCACGTATGATCTTATAAATTAGGCAGTTACATCATGGTAAATCTGCAATTTTAGGATTTGATCTTATATTAGAGCAGTACTAATATCATAGTAGACCATAATTCGACAGATATGCGATCCTTGATATAAACAAATGTTTTATTTCGTTCACAACTAGTACTAAGCCAGAGAATTCTACAAGTCACTGCTTTAACTCCCAATAAAAAGGCTGACAGGTGGACTGACTTTTTTGATCTCAGTAGTAAGTATTCTTTCAAATGTTTAATAAAGAAATTAAATGTTCAAACATTTAAGTGTTGAGACTTATGTGACCAACTATTGTATCCACTTTTCGTGTACTTGAATCGTGTTGACTTAAAATTAAAGTTGGTGGTGAGGTACTATCTTTTATTGTGATGCGCTAAGTAAAATATTAATGTTCCTAAAACGTGAGAACATCGGATCAAGCCTTTGAAATGGCCTAAAAATTAATCAAGACTTTGAAGCGTGGTGTCGAGTTGAGCTTGACTATGAACACCGCTACAAATCTACGTGCCAATTAACCAAAAGGATCCTCGTAGACCAATATCAGAAGGCAGATAATAGTAGTAGTTGAAATATATTTGCTGGCAATCTCGCGGTATTGAAAGAATGCCGAGATCGTGCCAAAGGAGTACAAATGCGATCGGCAAGCAAAGGTATGTGCGTAGTCACAAACCGCGTAGAAGTAATGGAGTACAACGGAAGACCAAAATGGCTGTTATTAGCACAGTTAAACAAACGAGCACAGTAAAACAATCACTGGTACAATTGGTTATAATAATAATTGTTTTCATCGAACCAATCACATTCTGTTGACAAAAGTAGGTCATTTCAACTTCTTCTTGCTTTGCAGAACGTGTAAGTGACAAAAACGTCGGTAGTTTGTAGACTGGGAATAAGCTACTGCTCAAGTAGTAGTCACAGAATGTTTTCAAAAACATTTCAAATCCGATAAAAACTGTAATATGCACAATGAACATCGAATTTCAGTTTCTATGTACTGTTGTCTGTAAGCAGAACAAGTAAATAACCGCAAATCCGTAATGGCCATAACTATGTATATGTGCATACCATCTTAGTATCCAGTAGATAGTTTCTTAGATATGTAAACTTCTCTATATGTCTGTTTCTTCTTGCCTTCAATCCGGGAAAGCTGTTGTCTATACAAGTGTGTTGTCCTTGATACAATGGTTTTAAGGTTTTATAATTAAGATAAGCTGCAAAAGAGTGGAACGCTTACCTGTCTTTTGGAAATCATTCTATGCTGTCTATACTGCATGTTATGCAACAGCCCCCTTAATTTTTAGAAACGCAACTATACTATTAATAGTAAATATATTTTTTGTTATGTCCCAATGAGTAAAAAATTGTATTTGTGACTTAATGTAAGCCGCCTCTTCAAAGTAAACAAATAACTGAATTAAATTAATACGTTTAAATAGTACAAAGGAACAATGCGTAATATTCTTAGTACAATCAAAATCATAATAAGTCTGAACATGTTAATGTCAGATTTTCCTTGGTTAGGGTGAACCTGTTATATAATTAGTGTATTAGAGTGTGGGTACGAGAAATGTATTCATTTGTAAAATGAAGTAATCGGGATGAAATTAAGTTTGTGTGCATGTAGATTGTGTGAAAAATAAACTACATCAAATGTGGTTGTTTGAATAAACAGTCCAGGTCGGATGAATATTCAGGAATTCGCTATTATTGAGGACAAGGAGATTTGGCATTATGTTAAACTCCTCAGTTACTTGCCTCCAGTTACCGTTAGACAAGTCTTTCCGAATTATTTTGTTTTAATATCAATTTGATGATTACCGAAAATAGAACGTGCTGCTACCGTTGATTTAACTGATGCAAAACTTTGCTGGAAAAAAACTCTAAGAGATATCTAAAAACATCAAGGAATCTTGTAAAAACGTTCAGCTGATAGTTTTTAGCGACTGCTACTGATATCGCCTTATCAATTTAGATTTCTGAATGTTCCATCTATAAACTTTCATCATCAGCAATGCGACGGATCCTTGACCTTAAGGTATCTGGTGATGCTATGATTACACTTTGTTGTTCGTGAAATCGCCCATCAGTCAGGAGTGTGTGTTGTACGCAATGGTCCATATTTGTCTGCGGTTTATCCAGTATCTTATAAGACACTGCTTAACATATGTTGCCGTTAGTAATATAACACATAGGTAGTGCTTAGAGCTGTGCAACAGGAATAAATTGTTCCATCTACATTGGTCAACAAAAGTATGATTTTACTAAGAGGTTTGATGCCTACTTACAGATGTTCGAATGCATGTCAAATGACATTTACCTTCTTACGGAATGTCCGGCAAACATGGGATATCTAAACTTATCTACTGCAGCTATATGTCGGTAACTTTCGGCAGATATTCCTATCTCTGAGATTCTTGACATGGGATGGACCCGGAAATGTTTTAAAAGATATCTATACATAGGGAAAACGTAATTCCGATAAGAGTGAATAACATGTGCTTACTATAACCATCTACAAAGTAAAGAGATTCGTGTAGAGAATTATAAATACCAGTTTTTGGTCTTCAATTACTCGTCTGTTGTGGAAGGAAACCTCAAGGTCTCGGTGTTGGCAGTAAACAGTAAGGCTTTCAAACCATGCATAATAGTGTAAGTCTACGTTTCCTGGCTGTGATTCGGTCATTCGAGTGGCCTTACGCAATGAATAGCACATTATAAGGTCGCCTAAGATGATTTACAACCCTCAACAAACAGCTTTATGGTATCTGATCCATGGAGTACGTGTTTGTCTAACATTGAAAACAAATTGAATCTCACGCCCCTATGAACTTCCAAGTTGTACCAGACAGTAAAAGGAGAAATTTCACTATGAAATAACTTTTACTGTTGTTAAGAACACTAAGTCCGAATTCACTCAAAATAAGTGCGTAGTGAATTATCTGCAAGCTTTTCCAGATGGAATATTCGGACATCTGAAAGGAAAATAAAACATCAACAGCTTCCACTAGAAACTGTCTGCTGGATATGTCTACAAGATTACTTGATGGTTTTAGAGCGTTACAATATGTACTGTCTCTATGCTACTTTGACATATGCACGCCGTATTTATTTATTTCTGCGAAGTACTTAAACTTCACTTTGCCAAAAGTGTTGTCTGCATCGTGCGTTACGTGAAAATCAACTTTAAACTGAATTTTTTAAGCATTCAACCACATCCCTAAATTAGAAACAATGTGGGGACTTCTGAAAGCTATTTGCATCTGTGGGTAGATTTATCATAATCGTTATACATTTGTCTTTTCCGCTATATGAAACCCCGAAAGTCTGAAGATCTCATAATAATATTACTATTTCTATTAAACTGCTCACTTGTAAACTATTTTCTGACTAGTTTACAACCTCATATTAGGTGTCACTGTCTAAGGTTAACATCCCAAGTGTTGTACGGACATCAACTGGTGATTTGATTGCTCAGTCTACCCCCAAAAACGTCCGCCCGGTTATCAAAAAGCCTACGACTCAAAAACCTGCTTTGACCTCCAAATAACAACGTACTGAACATGAACGCACCGGAAAACCTGGGAAAACAATAACGGTCCGTGATGACTCTCTCATAATCATGAACCTCATGGACAACCCTGACTTTCCTCTCAGTTTGCAGGACAAAAACTGCAGGATGCTCTGGGGTGAACTGAACAAAAAGTTCGAACTTCCTAGAATAGAGACTTTGACGGTCACACGGCTCACTCAGGGAAAGGGATCTAGGCATCAGAATCACCCGAGACTACTTCCTGTAACACTCAAGAATGCTACCGAAGTAGGTGTCCTGCTAGGTAGTCATCTACTGAAATCCTATGGGAACGTCAGAATAATGCCCGACATACCGTATTCTGAGCGCAATCTCATCCGGAACGTCCCTAAAGATTCTCGAAAGAAGATTTTCCGCGGAAGAAATATCATCGTGCAAGGTGTACCGGAAAACATGGACCCTAGTCAAGCAAACTCTGACATTCGGGAATGGAAATTCATCAAACAGTCCTTGAGGCTAAAAAAAATACTGACTCAGCATGTGATGAGACTAGCCAAGAAGGACGAGGATCCTAGACCCCGACTAGTGAGAATAACTTTTCCATCCTGCCATATGGCAGCTGCAGCTCTGGAAGCGTTTCGTGTCAACAGACGTCGGTTGCCAACTGGGATCCACATGCACCCGAACAGGCCATATGACGCCAGGATCAAGCTCAGAAGCAAACTGGAGCTCACCATTCCACTTGTGGACTGTCTTGAAGATAAAAAAACGTGTAAAGGACAGGGCCTACCAATTCGACAAAACTTATATAGGTGGGTTACGTGTCCACTCACGTAAGGCTCTCACAGACAGACAGGAAGAAGCTCATGCGTTTCAAATTGATAGCATTAACTGCTTATACATGGACGTCGCGGGTCTACCAAATAAAATGGATGAACTACGTGAACTTAGCAATGCTAATAAGGTTCATCTGATAGGAATATCTGAAACTTGGATATCTCCTCAGTTTTCGGACCAGGAGCTAGCAATACCTGGGATGTCTCTGTTTCGCATTGACAGAAAAACAGGAATTGGGGGTGGAGTAGCCCTATACATACGATCTGGCTTGGAGGTACACCAAGTTCACAACCATGCGTTTGACAATCTTGAGGAATCTATATGGTGCTCTATGAGATTGTCCACTACGAGGTGCCTAGTCAGAGTCATATATAGGAAGCCCACTGCCGACATCGAGTATGACAGTCGCATGCTGGAAGGACTATCCCGCTCTACGCGTCTCGGCTTCACTCATATCCTGATTCTAGGGGACTTCAATCTCCCTAGAGTCAACTTCGCGGAATATACGTATATTGGAGGTGAAAATTCAATCGAAGCTTGGTCCTTCAACCTCATTGAGGATTCGGGACTACACGAAAATGTGAAGTTGGCTACTCTTTGGAGGAACAGCCAGACACGCCGCGCTTAGACTGTGTTTTTACAAATGACGAATTTCTAGTCGACAACCTCTCAATTCTGGCTCCCCTGGGGAAAAGCGATCACGCCGTTATAGCCTTCAGTTTTGTCAGCAAAACTGAGCTAAGATATCACAACAACAACAGGCACTGGAATTTCAAACGGTTGAATGCGTCAGCTCTACAGGACTATCTACAACAAGTGGATTGGGATGTTCACCCTCAACTTGATGAGAATGCTCACTGGAACTTCCTATTACACACGCTCTTATGTGCCACAAAGCAGTCAGTCCCCAAAAGCCACATGCAACCTACAATCATCAAAAACCGCACTTTTCGTTTGCTAAGCCGTAAAAGGGGCTGTTGGGAAGAGTACAAACGAACCGACAACAACGGCGAGTACAGACAATACAAACATATAGGGAACATATGCACGAAGGCTATAAGAGAAGACCTAAGAACAGACACTTCTCCAGGTCCAGATATGGTCCATTCTGCTATACTGAGGGAAGCAGCTTCAATCCTGGCAACACCGCTTAGCGTGATGTTTTCACACTCGCTAAGTTGAGGCAAACTACCGGATATTTGGAAGCTGGCTCATATCACACCAACCCTCAAAGGAGGTCGACGCAGCGAACCTTCAAGTTACCGACCGGTGGCTCTTCTCTCTATACCTTCAAAGATCATGGAGTCCCTGGTATACGATGGTATACACGGCTATCTGCTGTCCTTAAATTTCTTCTCACCCTAACATCATGGTTTCAGGAAGGATTACTCCGGTATGACGAACCTGCTGACTGCGGTGGACAGATGGACAAGCATCGTTGATCGCAAGGGAAAGATGGACATCATTTACCTTGATTTCTCTAAAGCTTTTGATAGGGTTAATCACATATGTCTCATCAACAAGCTCAAACAATTGGGTATCAAACCTCCTTTAATTGACTGGCTCAGTTCATACCTGACAAATCGACATTTTAAGGTCAGGGTAAACTTCAGTTTCTCACAGACTATGAAATGTCCCAGTGGGATCACCCAGGGCCCAGTACTAGGACCTCTTCTCTTCTTGATTTATATAGATGATCTTCCTCAGCAGGTAACGCCAGACATATTGCTCTTTGCCGATGACGTGAAACTTTGGAGAGAGATACGCAACCAAGAGGATATACATGCACTTCAGGAGGATCTGACTGGACTTCGAAGTTGGGCAGACGATAACGAACTTACCTTTAACACTACAAAGTGTAAAGTAGTCCATCTGTGACACGTCGCAGATTACAGTTACAACTTAGGAAACTCCTCTCTAGTAATGTCCCGAGCCGAAAAAAATTTAGGAGTTCTGGTGCCCTACGACATAAAGTCTTACGCCAACTGTGACAGAAATGCATTTCGAGCAAACCTTGCACTGGTAACATTGAAGCGCATTTTTGGTCAGTTTGACGGGAGAACTTTCCACATAATCTTCAATAGTTTCATTCGTCCCCACTTAGAGTACGGAAACATAGTATTCCCTCCTACACTCCAAAAGGATAAGGACACTCTGGAGAGTATCCAACGGCGAGCCACGAAATCAGTTCGGAGACTCAAACCTTACGATGAGCGCCTCCAATCACTCGACCTTTACCCATTAGAGTATGGGCGTCTTAGAGGTGACCTTCTAATGGCTTACAGTATCCTTAAAACTCCTGGACATCCTCTTAAACACCTACTTAAGCTTAGTCCCAACACTGACCTAAGGGGTAACACCCAGAAATTAGAGATACAACATAGTAGAACGGACTGCAGGCACAACTTCTACTCCTTAAGAGTTGTCAAATGCTGGAATTCGCTGACGGCTGAGCTAGTTCAAGCAACTTCCCAGGAGTCCTTTAAGAGGCGACTTGATCTATTCTTAAGGACTAAGGATAGTATCTTACTATGATTTACCAATTTTTTTCTCTTTTATCGTTAATATACCTAGGTTCTTGTCTGGAGGTATTGATGATCTCCTGCTACTAGACACGGAAGCCTGTTAAGCGAAAGCTTCTTCTATTCCGTCCACAACCATTTGAACCATTTGAATTCGTCGCGGTTATTATAACATTCGCCGCTAGGTTAGGCTATCGGCTACGTCTTCACTTGTTTTCGTACGTTTGCAGAGGACTTCTCCAAACATTATCAGCGGATTTACTCCAAAAGTAGTTCTATCTGTACTTTTGGTGGGTGAGTAATATATATTGAAGTGTAATTTTCATTTCCAACTGAATATTAATGGTTTTAGTGCGGACTTTTTGGTACTTATTAATATATTATACAAGATATTCGACACCTCATCAAACAAAAAGCAAATCTCCGGACAGCTCTGTTTTTTCTACTTTAATACTGTCAAGCAGGCCATTACAAGTGAAAATTGTATAAACGTTATAGGTATGTAACCAATTACATCTTCAAAACACTACTCATGCCTTGTAAGACCGAGTAAGTAGTACTCCTGTTAGTTAGTTAGGATGACAAACTAATCGTGGTTATTGTAGTTCAGTTATGCATATTTTATAATAATTATTATAAAATACGCATGACGATGATCTAATCATTAGGTTGTGGGAAACTCGAGGGTGACTAGGTTTAACACTTGTTCACAAAGTCATTGATCGTGTTGTTTAGGAAGATGAAGTTAGAGTACGTAGACTGAATAATAGGTTACGGTGGTATATATATTTATCTCTGTTGTTTTCAAAATCCCGAAGACTATGGCTTTGTTGGTCTGTTCCTTTTGTATTTATACCATTAATTACTTCAATATCTGATAAATAAAGTCTTATTTTTGTGCCGTTTCAAAGTGCGAACTATGTAGTCGACACACCTTTGTATTGCTCATAGTTCGGGTTTTAGACGTCCCATCAGGTGAGATTCCTAACATCTAACTTCCCCATTAAACCACATCATCAGCATCTACTATGAAATCTCAATAGTGCATGCAGTTTCCGAGGTAAAGTTCAGGACTGACTGACTGACTCAGGAAGTTTCTCATCTTTCCTCTTATAATCTAGTAATTTCTAACCTACGGATCATGCCCTAATACTTGATTACACGCCCAAGTCCCTACTCTTATACGTATCTAATTGTATGTATTTTGTTTTATCAAGTGTACACATCAGAAGTTCCAAACAAAATCCGATTAACCGTAAATGAGAACGATAGTAATAAAACTATTTCATTTCCCCACATCGAATTAACGTAAACATCTATTTTAAAAGATGAATAGTGGCTAGCAGTAAAATCCAGGATGAGCGTTTCGTTCTATTTGGGACGAATCAGTTGGATATACCTACATTCCAGAGTCTATGTTCACTCCCGAACTTGGACCCAGTAATTTTGTCTCCTAACATCGCGTTGTCCACTTGGCTACTGAGTCCAAATAGCCATTGCACAAGCACATCCTGAGTTCTACTGATAGTCACCATCCGTTTTTGCTTAAAATGCTAATGAATTACTAAAAATATCAAGGTAGTCTGCACAGAATACGTTCATACCAAAGACTGATCCATTGCTGTCCTAAACATCAGTGGGAAGACCCAAACAACCAGTATGCATGCATTAGGGAGTAAACACTTATGTTTTTATCCGTGTGGAAAATGATTTTAAATCAATATCAGTCGGTTATCAAACTTAATTATATCTGGTGTTTCCACTACATATATCATAGATGATAAGTGGCAATCTGTAATCATTCCATACATTTCTTTTGCTAATATGTGTATTCTTTTGTTTAACTTAAGGCCGTACTATTATTATTTTGTCGCAGAGCTTTATAATTTGGTTTCTGATATGGTTCAAAAATGCAGTGGTTTAAACCGGTTGGTGCATACATTGGTAAGATGTCTTTAATTACATATAAACACCCTTAGTCTAAGTTACGATTGAATGATGTGAAATTATTTTTAATTGGATTAGGGTTCGTATTTTTATTAAATTGGATTGTTACTTTATCGTGGATACCGAAATTAAAATGTTTATCAGATGGTAGCCTGCTTCAGAGTACAAAACAATATTCCATATTTTCTTTAAGTATGTTTCCCTAATTTTTCTTATAACTCATCTACCATAGCTGATGTTAGTTATGCTCAAAATCTTGCTAATAAGATTAATATATATTGTTATATCCTAACGGAACCACAGTCACATCTAACCAAAGCTTATCATGTTCAAACAACTTGGGCCCGAAGATGTACTCGTTTTAGTTTTATTAGTTCAAAAGCGGAGAAATTAATGAAAATGCTTGGTAAGTCAAAAAAAGAGATCTTTTTTAAATCGTTGTCTAGAAAATTTTATTAATTCACTTGTATGAAGTAAAGAAAATGTGTAATGTTCATAGGTATAAGTTTATATTCCAAGTACTTAAATTCATGTGTAATATCATTTCATTTTGTACGGTGATCTACGTCAAACAGGAAATTTGTATTAAAGTATAACCCATTATTCAGAAGCGTAGAATTCACCTCCATGCATAGTTTTCTTATAAGCTATTCCAGTGACTAGAAAACCTAAGCAATTGGCTTTCTTATGAGACCACTCTTTGATATATAGGTCTAATCCACAAGACAGTGGAGGAATTTTAGGAGTTACAGTTTCGTAGTGGCCAATCACCAAAATAGGTCCAACCACTCTTGGTCACACTAGGGCATTTAGAGGCATTACTTTTTAAGACGAGTATGCATATCAAGTTGTCATAACTTTGATCTGTGGTTTTATTAGTCATAAAAAGCATTGTTCAGTATAACTGTTTAACACTATTGTTAGATTATTTTGTTCTCGAAAAGACGGCTGTTTACGAAATTGAGAGGGCGAATTTCCGGCGCTTTAACCGGGTTGGTAGACACGGAGGGTCTACCTAGAGGAGTTGGAAAACCCTGATTCCAAACCAATAGTGCACATAAACTCCATGATCGTGAGGGAACAAAAGGCGTACGGACCTATTGTTGATCACCAGCTGCCATGGGACCGGATTTCTTAACGTTGCTCCACTGCCTTGTAGGTTAGACCTTCAGGTCAGAGGCTCTGAGTGTGACCCCCTAAGAATACCGCATGCTTCGGTCTAGGCACCCGGGCAGTATCACAGCCCTCACACAAATCAATGGTAGCTGCTACTGACTTCATTGTTATTGTGTGGCGCATATGTATTTGGTGCTCCCTTGTACCAATGTTTATGTGTTTAAATAAAATGAAGTACTAAGCTCCCTATTTATTTACTTATAGCTGTTGATAGAACGCAAAATTATGTTAAGCATTCTTGGATTTCAATGCGTGAAACACTTCGTGCATTACATAAACAAACTTACAAAGCAGCATATTTTCTTAAAGCTGATGATACAACTTATGTGATCATGGAAAACTTAAGGAATGCTTTAGAATACACAGATCCTCGTAAACCATTTATTATGGGTCATATCTATAAGGTTAGTCATCTAAAAACTATTATTGTTACCTATTTTTCATTATTAAGGGATTTTTATTAATTTTACTGTTGTTGTAAATTGTGTTCATGCAAGTATTAAAAAGTTGTTACTTGAGATACTTCAAAATGGTGGTAGCTATGAATCTCAAGCAGAAATACCTCGACACCTACTTGGGTGTCTGGAAGTGTCCATGGTTACTGATAAGGACTTATGATTGCAATAATGTAGTCTCACTGGGCTCTTGCTGGATGAGCACTCTGCAAAGCATGCGAACTAATACTGCAAAATCGGCTTATTATAGGCCTATAGTTGTGTCAAAACTTTCACCCCTCCTGAATGGACTCTAGTTGTTCTTGAAGTGGAAAGCTACAACTCAGGACGTTTTATGTGTTGTGAGACTTCGTGTATTGTGCTGAGCCATCTGCAACGCAAACTTCTCCCAAGTTGTATCGTAAAATTAAATTTTGATGAACGATATAAATTTCTAAGAAAGCGATACCGATAACTCGAAATCTGATCTGGCTATTGAAGCGATGGATCCATTAGGAAAGGCTAGTTGCTCTACTACAATAGATATTTTAATGATGATGATTTCACAAGACGTAGCGACCCGTTCTTAAGCAGTTACATGTGCATCACCATACATTAATGATTTACGCAAGGCTATATATGTTGTTGATGCATTAATCAAAGGATTTTTCGTCTGGCAAGCTTCATGATTAAGTGAGGTTATGGAATGTAATATACTCTCAAACAGATCTAATACAGTGGTAGGGTTAAGTCAACACTTCCAGAACCGACAACCTCCAAAACGAACCGGATGCGGAAGTCGTTTTATACATACATATATATCAGCCTGATGCATTACAGGTATTGCACTTACACAAAATGCATTTTCTACAGAACTTTTCTCCGAAGGATAATTGGTATTTCTGATACAGTTTATTTCCATGACCCAATAATACAGCTCTACTTTGAGAAAAGTGATTTTCCTGTGTATTGTTAGATTAAAATTCATTCATCATAGATCAATGCCCTAATGGTTTGAACATCAGTCTTTCATCCATTTAGTTATACGTTCGAATCCCACTTCACCCGCTACAGCTTAGTTGTTTGCGTAGCATCGTTAGCCTTGACGAAAGTGGTATAGCTTAAAGCCGAATATACAAACTTGTATTTGACTATTTGCATTATTGATTGTTAGTGCATTAGTTGAAATAATTAGTCTAAAGACTTTGATTTTGTAAGAGAATTCCCATTCTGGTTTTTTGTAGATAGAAACAATTATGGATACCTATCAATAATAAAACTACAGATGTTGGTTCATACTCCTTCCAAACTACCAATCAGACTAATTAGTGCTTAAGTATCACCTATGGATGCAACCCCAGCACAATCGATTGTTAGTTAATGTTTTGTCACACTTCAGCTTTTAAATAACTTCCTCGACCTAAGAGAAAGTTCACAAAAAAACAAATCAACCATTTTACCCTGCTTCACTAACGACCTCTAATAACTATTTGTGCTATCCATCTAGGTCTCATGAGGAATTCATCGAAATTGAGTCGATATTCCTCATGATAAATGTGAATAACCGACACTCGTTACCTTTTGATAATATAGTTCCAGGTTTCCCCAACCTCATCTACATTACTTTACTCGTACATATATAAAGCTTGTTGTAATTAATGGTTCAAAATTCGTCCGTTTCTTATTGTATACAAACGTAACCTATCATCTAATTAAAGTACATTACACCTTTTCTATTTGTTGAAATGTGTTGTCTAAAATTTATTCCGGATAATTATCATAATTAATAATAATACTTTATAATCATCGCCACACTTAAAAATATCACCTTTATAATGTTCTGATTATGTATTTAGATGGTTGTGACGATTTTTTTATTGTTACAATTCTAAACAATACTTTGTCTCATAATTAACTGTTAGTTCGAGTGTTTAAATGAGCTAAATCCATCTTGTTAGTTGCTTGATTAAAGTCAATACATATACAGATATACTGTTTGTTTGTTTGTTTTTCGGTTCCGGTTTAAATTAAAGCGAAACACTTATTTTCTTTCTTTCCTTCTCTCTCTCTCTCTCTCTCTCTCTCTCTCTCTCTCTATATATATATATATATATATATATATATATATATATATATATATATATATATATATATGGATTTTACAATCGATTTCATTTATGTTTATTGTCAGTCAGTAACAACGTGGAACTTCGTACGTACGTACATCAGTTCGAGTTTCCATGCCACATTAGCACAGAGATTCAGTTATCGTCTCAAATCCCGTAGTGGCAGAGTAGTGAAAGTATAAGTAGTGACAAGAAACATTAGGGTTTGATGATGTTATTTAAGGAGTATAGTCCATTGGAATATATTTGGAAAGAAAATAAAGGACATGGAGAATTCAGAAGATTAGAGTTTGGGAGAACACAGAGAGTGGATGCACCTGCGCCATTGCAAACGATTTTCTGCCATGTCATTCAAGGTCTCTAACCATCGGTTGCTATCATCTCGCGGTCCTCAACCAGGTAGTCTACATCTACTAACATGGCTCAGTCCACTTGTCAGTGACTTTTAGTGGCCCGTGATCTGACTCCAATTTGATCGTAATGATTGGTTGCTACCGTCTATCCTCGTATATAATCATTGACTTAGATCGCGTTAGTTAATAACGGAATTAAATAAGTTAAATAACGAGAATGGAGTTTTGAATGCATATATTTTGCATAATTGTTGATTAAACAAACGAACGGAGGAACGATGCGAAGATTAGAAAGCGAAGCTAAGTTGGCGCGCGGTGGAGATGGCTGGTAAGCCAACTCTCCCTTTAACAAAGAGTTAATCAATATTTATAAGCCCACAAAAATAAATTACAGACATGTGATGAGTAACGGGATAAGAAATGTGCATACGCCTACGCGCTCATACAAAGACAGTCAAGACATTGATAAGCGAATAATTAACAAGGTCAGAATGTGACTCAAATAGAATGAATAGAATGGGCTGTGCGGAAGTTAGAATAATGAGGTATTTGGGCTTAACATAATGACAGACACTACAGACTTCATGGATTTCTGCCATGTTTTGGTCTGGCCGCCCCTAACTTTCTTCCAACCTATTCCTACACCATAAAACATCGCTCGTCGGTGGTTGGGCATACGTAGCACATGTCCCAGCCATTCCAACTGATTAAGTTTCACTACATCATCAGTTGATTTGCCATCCTTACCTATTACCCGTCTCCTAATAACTGAGTTGCTTTCTCGGTGGTCCCAGGATATACGGGAAATGTTTCGAAGACACCTATGATCAAATACTAGTAACCTACGAATATCCTCTACTCTTACTGGCCATGTTTCACTGCCATAAAGTAGGACGGAACGAACTGCTGCGCAGTAAACACGTCCTTTGGTTGATAGACGGATATCTCGCCTACGCCACAGATGACGCAAGTTGACAAAAGCTAGTCGAGCCTTTTGTATCCGTGCTGAGATTTCGTCACACACCAAACCACAAGGGCTGATGAGACTTCCAAGATAAGTGAAGCGGTCGACACGCTCAACTACTTCACTCCCTATCACTAGTTCGGGTGTCGACGCAACCCAATCCTGAAGCAACATTTTGCATTTCGAGGGAGAGAATCGCATGCCGAACATGCTTGCATTGTTGCTTAGATTGGTCAGTAGACTCTGCATTTTGTCAGCGTCTTCACCAAATAGAACTATGTCATCGGCATACTCTAAGTCAACAAGTGAATCTTTCGGTAAAAGTTCAACCCCTGGACAGTCAGATGTGGAAAGTGTTATTTCTAAAAGCACGTCAAGGTCAAAGTTAAAGAAGAATGGAGAGAGTGAACAGCCCTGACAAACACCACTTGAGGTAATCAGTTCTGATGACAGTTCGCCATAAGCTCTCATTCGACCAGTTGTGTTCGAGTAGAGAGCCTTTATAAGGTTGACGTACTTCTTTGGTACTCCCTTCAGTGACAAACACTGCCATAGAACTTCACGATCAACAGAGTCGAATGCCGCTTTAAGGTCGAGAAATACTACCATTGTGGGCCGTCTGAATGTGTGTCTACGTTCTAGGACCTGACGTAGTGTGAATATCTGGTCTATACAACCACGTCCAGGTCAGAAACCAGCCTGGTTTTCTCTAGTCTGCTCCTCACGAGCTTCATTGTAAATATCTATATTGTCCCATCTTTAATATTCAGTACTGAACCCGATAAGTCTGTTTGCTGTATGGACTACTTACACTGACACCTCGTTTCTATGTGCATTTACAGGTTAATTATATTTTGAATAGTGGTTAGCAGTCGCACCCATATCGCGCGTTCCGTTCTATTTGGTACTCGTTAGTCGAGTAAATACGCACCCTTGTGTTAGTGCTCACACTAAAACTTAGATGAACACCCAACACTTTCTCATTCAATCTACTGAGAAATGATAGCCACTGACTAATTCAACGAATATAATATTTGTTAGTGTTTATAATGATTTTTGTTTCCCTGTCATTGCTATTCAGGGGTTTTTTTTTAACACATAGATATCGGTACAAGAAGGCACCAAATACATATGCGCCACACAGATCTCATTGGATATGTGTGAGGGCTGTGATACTGCCCGGGTGCCCAAACCGAAGCAGGTGGTTTCCTTAGGGGGCCACACCCCGAGCCTTCGACCTGAAGATCTGATCCACAAGGCAGTGGAGCATCGTAAGGAGATGCAGTCTCATGGTAGCCGGTGACCAACGATTGGTTCATACGCCATTTATTCCCGCAGGATACTGGAGCCCATGTGCATCATTGGTTTGGGACCCGGTTATGGCGCCGGACATTCGCTTTTCGTCCTCTCATTTTCGTAAACAACACCCGTGGTACGAGAAGGCAGTGAGTAGGACTTCCCTGGCAGAGGCTGTATTCGCGTGGCCATTTGAGAGCATTTCGAGAGGGGGAGCGGACTCTCCCCACT